TGGGTTTACTGAGATAGCAGTTGTCTTTTAATAGCCCTACTATTTTGGTGAGAATGATGCTACTCAGTTAAAAAAAATCATTGAAAATCCCACCTCTCAGAAACAAACATTATTAAAATGCTTTATCTGTGTGTGTGTGTGTGTGTGTGTGTGTGTGTGTGCGTGCGCGCGTGTGGAGATGAAGGTCTCGTTATGTTGCCCAGACTGATTTCTAAGTCCTGGTCTCAAGCAATCTTCCCACCTCAGCCTCCAAAGTGCTGGGATTATAGGCGTGAGCTACTATGCCCAACCAGCTATTAAAGTTTTTGATTAATACTATTCTACATATTTCTCTACACATATATGCTCCTACAGATATACGCGATTTTACATGAATGAGTCATACTCTAAATGCTGTATCAAAACCTGCTTTTGGCACAAATGTTCTCAGGATCTCCTGAGGGCTATGTCACAGGAAATAAAAAAAATAAAGGAAAAAAAGAAAACCTTGCTTTCTCTCCCTCATCCATAAGCTTGTGTTTTGAGTTTCCTGTGGAATAATTCAAGTAGATGTGTCCAGAAGTAAATTGCATATAACAATCTAGAACTAAAAGGAGAGGTGTAGTCTTGGGGTCACCATCAGAGCTGGTCACCAAAGCCTCAGAAGGTAGAGGATCCTAGCAGGCAGAGGGTGAAAGACAGAGAGGCAAGTGCCAACCACAAAGTCCCTGGAACGCAAACAGTGATGGTGGGAAGGAGAAAAGCACAGCAATTCTTGGTCTTCAAGAGAGCAGTGGCCAACAGCGTAGATGGCCAACATTAGGTCAAATAAGATGAAGGCTTTAGATTTGGCAATAAAGTGGTAGCTAGTGGCCTGGAAAAGAGTGATTTTAGTGAAGTGGTAGTGTGGGAGCTAAATTGTAAAAGAGCTAAAGAGATAACAGAAGGAATCCACCCACTCACACCACCGCTACTCCACTCCCTCTTCATCACAGCTCTCAGACTCCAATGTGCATATGAATTACCTGGGCATAATGTTATCATGTAGATCTGATTTAGTAGGTCTGGGTGGGGCCTGAGGCTCTGTATTTCTTACCAGCTTCTTTGTGATATGTTTGCAGTTCAGCCCTGATAAGCTCACCTGGGGCTTTACCAAAGATACTCAAGTGTGGATGAAAATGAGTTCTTGGGCCGGGCGCGGTGGCTCACGCCTGTAATCCCAGCACTTTGGGAGGCCGAGGCGGGCGAATCACAAGGTCAGGAGATCGAGACCACGGTGAAACCCCGTCTGTACTAAAAATACAAAAAATGAGCCGGGCAAGGTAGCGGGCGCCTGTAGTCCCAGCTACTCGGGAGGCTGAGGCAGGAGAATGGTTTGAACCCAGGAGGCGGAGCTTGCAGTGAGCCAGGATCGCGCCACTGCACTCCAGCTTGGGCGACAGGGCAAGACCCCCCCTCCGCCAAAAAAAAAAAAAAAAAAAAAAAATGAGTTCTTGGGGTCCTAGATGCACATCAGAGAAATACTGAAAAGGAACACTAAGGAACTTCTCAGCTGCCTCATTCTTTGCTGTGTGTATGTGCCTCACTCATGAAAATCCCTACATTTGGGTCATTTAAAAGTTAACCTTTTTTTTTTTTTTTTTGAGTCTGAGTCTCGCTCTATTGCCCAGGCTCACTGCAACCTCCACCTCCCAGGTTCAAGTGATTCTCCTGCCTCAGCCTCCTGAGTAGCTGGGATTAAAGGCATGTGTCACCACACCCAGCTAATTTTTGTATTTTTAGTAGAGAAGGGATTTCCCCATGTGATTCTCCCACCCTGGCCTCCCAAAGTGCTAGGATTATAGGAGTGAGCCACTGTGCCTAGCCTAAAAGTTTCTTAAATCCTAAATGTATGAGACCTTTCTAGTTAACTTTTTGTTATTTTTCTACTTTAATTGCACTAGGTCCAAGAATACACTACTATTACAGTCCTTTAAAACTTGTTGAGATTTGGCCGGGCAGGGTGGCTCACGCCTATAATCCCAGCACTTTGGGAGGCTGAGGCGGGCAGATCACCTGAGGTTGGGAGTTTGAGACCAGCCTGACCAACATGGAGACACTCCATCTGTACAAAAAATACAACTTTAGCCAGGCGTGGTGGCTCATGCCTGTAATCCCAGCTACTTGGAAGGCTAAGGCAGGAGAATCGCTTGAACCCGGGAGACAGAGGTTGTGGTCAGCCGAGATCACACCATTGCACTCCAGCCTGGGCAACGAGAGCAAAACTTCGTCTCAAAAAAATAAAAAACTTGTTGAGATTTGCCTTATAGCTAAGTACATGGTCAATTTTTGTAAATGTTCCATGAATGCTTGAAGACAACATATTCTACAACTGTTGGGTGTAGTCTTATGTCTATTAGGTCAAATTTGTTAACCAGGTTGACAGGTCTTCATATTCTATTGATTACTAAAAGGAGATGTGTTAAAATCTCCAGTCTCTCTACCAGGAAAACTTCCTCACCTCAGTCCACCTTATTCACGATAAGCAAAATGTTACCTGGTCTTCGCAGACCCAGCCCTTACCCTAATGAGAGTCTCAACCTAAGAAGACTTCCTTGATCACCAACACCTCCCTAACCCCACCTCATACCTGGCACTCCTTCTCCCTCCTCTGAGCTCTTACAGCATTTGCTGTCTGTACAAACAATTTGACACTTACCTAATTTGTCTTCATCACAATTATTTGAGTTGATAATTTACTCCTGTCAGGTTTTAAATTCCACGTGGGTAAAGATGATCTTATTTTTCTTTTGTAACAGTTTTATTGAAACATAATTATTGACATACTATAAAATTCACGCTTTAAAAGCATACAATTCAGTGGAGACTATCTTATTTATTCTGGCATCGTCTATAGCTGTGGTTCCCAGTCTTGGGTACACACTGGAATTACCAGAAGGGCTTTAAAAAATAACCTTCAGTCTGGGGAAAAAAAAAAAAAAAAAAAAAAAAAAAATCCTTCAGTCTGGATCTCACCTCCAGAGGTTCTGGCTTAACTGGTTTGGGGTGTGGCCTGGGGGGATGGGAATTTTTAAAGCCCCTAGGATGATTTTAACTTGTAGCCGGGGTTGCCCTAGAGTACTCTGTTCATAGCAGGCACCCAACAACTGTTTGTTGTAATCATCAATTAGCTTTAACTTCTAGTATCCAGTTAATTAACTCACTCAAGAGTGGCCATCTGTCTCCCCAATAGCCCAACAGCTCTTATCACAGAATGGTCTGCTTATATCTGTCTCCCCAACGCAGCAGGAAAGTAACACTATGAGACAAAAGCATGTAGAAAAGGTAAGTTCACTTGCAAAGATGTGCAGACTTCAGTAGGACTGGATCACGGAATAAGAAATACAACAGATATTAGACCGTGCGTGGTGGCTCACGCCTATAATCCCAGCACTTTGAGAGGCCGAGGCCGGTGGATCACGAGGTCAGAAGTTTTGAGACCAGCCTGGCCAATATGGAGAAACCCTGTCTCTACTAAAAAACAAAAATTAGCCGGGCGCGGTGGCGGGCGCCTGTAGTCCCAGCTACTCGGGAGGCTGAGGCAGGAGAATCGCTTGAACCCGGGAGGCAGAGGTCGCAGTGAGCCAAGGTCGCGCCCCTGCACTCTAGCCTGGGCGACAAAGCGACTCAGTCAGAAAGAAAGAGAAAAAGAGAAAGAGAGAAGGAGAGAAGGAAAGGAAGGAAGGAAGGAAGGGAGGAAGGGAGGAAGGGAGGGAGGAAGGGAGGAAGGAAGGGAAAGACAACAGATATTAAAGGAAAAAAATGTAAAGGAAAAATTACCACATTTACATTTGTCTTTTCAGCATGGATGACACTCTCACGTTGAGGAATGCATGTCACAAGAATTGTGTGTGACATATCCCCAAATTTCCACATTCAAAAGTCAGGGATAATACGGTTTTCATCCGGGAATCAGTAACTCAGGGGAAAAGCTCAAGATGTCATTCATTTTGGAGACCAGATATAAAGGAGTAGTATGGGTACTTTGTCTCAAGGTGGCAAGTGTCTTTTTTATGGTTTTTCCCTTCCCATGGGACTTGTTGCATACTCTTAAAATGGCGGCAGGGCAGGCACGTTTGCTTGCACAGCTGTGAGCTGCATGCATAAAAGCAGGGATGGTTTTGGCCTAAGGCAGGGATGGTTTTGGTCTTATCCGTTATGGCATCCCCTTGTGGCACATGTTAGGTGTTCAAAAAATATTGGTGGAATGGATGTGATTACACTTCATGCCACAGTATATAAATATGATTTTAACTGGACAGGGAACTGCACAAGTTTCCCATATTGATCCTTTTTGCGATCTTAATTATGGTACTCTGAGCTGGGATACTGCCTAAACTGCGTGGGCTACAACAAACTCTAAAGGGCTTTTACTTTCACGTCCACAGTGGTTGAGGGTTCGCGTTCTGTGAATGCTGGAACCTCACGCGAGTAGCTGAGTAGCGAGGATGGTCACTCCCGGATAAATGAATACAGGATTCTCGCGGCTGGCAGCGGTCGCCCGGCGAGGTCGGTCATCCTGCCTGTCCGGTAACACCACGAAACACCTGCCACTGATACCTCCCCACCAGCTCCCGAGGGTTCGCGCGGGCATCCCGAGCCGCACCCCCTGTTCCGCCGCAGCCGGATTCCCTCCCGGGCGGGTTACGCCCCTAGGCGCAAAACGGAACCACTTCGCATCAAGAAGACAAAGTATAACCAGTCACACCAAAAAGAGGCAGCATTATTTAGACAGCCGGCTACTCCCCCAGAGACTCCACCCAGTCCCCTGGGCCCGGCGTTCAGCGCGCCGACAGTGCCCGGCTCCAGGAGCTCCAGCTCCCTCCACGTGTCCTGTCTTCCCAGCAGCCTCCTCTGCCGCCTCTGGAGGAAAAGCTCCTGACAACTCGCGGTCTGCGGACTACGACTCCCAGGAGGCGCCGCGCCGCGGCTCTCCCCGCCCCCTTTCCGGGACGCGCAGGCGCCCTGGGCTCCGTCTACCAGCCTGGCTGGCGACGCCTGGATGCGGTTTCTTCCGGGATTTGTAGTTTTTCTCGAGTTACCCGGGCCGTCTGTCAAAGGGACAAAAACTACAAGTCTCGGCTACCCCAGCGCTGCGAGCCTGGTCACGTGGCGGGGGCCGACCGGGCGTGCGTGCCGCCGTTGATCCGGTGCTGCAGTGAGGAGGTGGTTCTTGCCCGTGTTGTGTGTGTGTGTGAGTGAGAGAGCGAGTGAGTGAGTGAGTGAGTGTGTGTGTGGGGGGGACTCGGCTTGTTGTTGTCGGTGACTTCCCCCTCCCCTTCACCCCTTCCCCTCCCCGCCGCCGCTGCAGTGGCCGCTCCCTGGGCTGTAGGAAATGAGCGATAACGATGACATCGAGGTGGAGAGCGACGTGAGTCCTGGGGCTTCTTCCTTCCCGTGCGGGTTGTCAGGCGGGGACAGCGGCCGGGGCTCTCAGCGGGGCGACGGCGGGAGGGGGCCGGGCCGCCGCCGCCTCCTTCCCCTTCCCCTCGGGGCCAGGACTGCCTCCGTCGCGTTCCCGGCTCGCTCCCCTCCGGCTCCTGGCCGGAGCGGCCTCCTGGGACTGGAGGTGGGGGGAAGACACGCGGCTTCTGGGACTCCCACCTTCTCCCGTGGGGGAGGGTGCTGCGGCCTCCCGCTCCCACCTTCCCGGGCTCAGGATCCGGGGGACAAGGATGGGGGGCGCCCGGGATCCCATTGTCCGGATCCAGGGGAAGGGGACGGCGTTCAGGACCTGCCCCTTCGGAACGCGATCCTCTCCTCCCGTGACCCGCGGATCCTGGGGGGCGAGGAAGGGCGGAGAGGGGTTGGGGGTGCCTAGATGCCCGAGCTGGGTCTGCAGGGAGGAGACAGTGCTCCGGACCCCTCTGGCCCGGGTCGGATCTCGGAAGGAGGGGCGGCGCTCGGGACCCCTCTACCCCGCTACCGGATCCCGCCGAGGGTGGAAGGGTGGGGGCAAGGGGTGGGAGGGAGGAAGGGGTGTCGGGCTGACTCCCCACCCTCCGCTTCCTCTGCCGCCGGCATTTTCTTTCTTATTATTGAATGTTAAGTGTAAAAATAACTTCTATATTTTCTATTTTTTTTCTCTCCTATTCCAGGAAGAGCAACCGAGGTTTCAATCTGCGGTACGTCTCCTACTCTCCATTTCATTTTTATTTCCGTTCAGTTCTATTCCTTTTTGGGGTCAGAGAGAAAAAGAGATCGTACTGTTACTTTTAATATTGTAGTAAATCACTAATGTTAACCACTAAGGTGAGGTGGGGCCTGGTTCTGGAGGTTGGGGGGGTTGCAAATCCTATCATTCTAGATTCTCAGGTGATAAGTTCAGTGAGTAAGAGGAGCTGTATGCAAAGAATTGAATTGTTCTGTAGTTTTCAAATAGGGGATCCAGCTGCCGCTATGTAAGTGGAAATGAGAAATGCAGCATTCTGAAGTCAGTGGTAGTATTATTTCAGGGCAAAGTGGTCAGAAGATTTATTTAGGAACAAGTAGGTTTTAAACCATATCTGTATAATTATGTGAAGCTGAAGCCACATGCAATAATCGCCTTTAACCAAGTCATGTGACTGCTATAGACCCGTAGAATCTAGCACAACGTGGTATTCTAACACAAAAATTGGAAATGTAGAGGAGCCAAACATTGCATCATCAAAGTGTCACATAAAGTTATTATGGTCTGATTCTCTGTATTTGAAGAAGAGGTATAAAGAAAATTAAAAAACAGCTGAAGAAAAGTGGCATTGCAGAGACAGCTTTGCTGAAAGGTGATGGATGAGACCATATAATGTTATCAATAATTTCTTAGGGTTTTGATATTAATGTTCCCAGTAGATGGTTCTGTGGATTTAGATATGCACTAATTTCATGTCTTTGGAGTCTGAGACAGTAATACGGGTTTTTCATGAATAGATTAGAGGGGAAAAAAAGAAAACATATAGAATAAATCAGAATCAGAGGGGAAGAGAAATAAGTATATCAGAGTTCTAATATTTGAAATTGGGAACAGTAGGAAGTGTATAGAATGGAGGTAAAAAATTTGAATGCCCATGAGGGCCATAAAGAATAAAGAAGGAAGAGGTGAGGACTTGGGTACTGGAGAGCAATACCTCTTCTAAAAAGTCAGCCATTACTGAATTCCAGTGGTTTGTTATGTAGGAGTGAAGGGTCAGTATTGCCAGATCTTCCTATTTTTTATTTTATTTTATTTTATTTATTTATTTTTGGGATAGAGTCTCGCTCTGTCACCAGGCTGGAGTGCAATGGTGCTGTCTCGGCTCACTGCAACCTCCGCCTCCTGGGTTCAAGCGATTCTCCTGCCTCAGCCTCCTGAGTAGCTGGGACTACAGGCGCACACCCCCACACCCAGCTAATTTTTGTATTTTTAGTAGAGACGGGGTCTCGATCTCTTGACCTCGTGATTCGCCCACCTCGGCCTCCCAAAGTGCTGGAATTACAGGCGGGAGCCACCGTGCCTGGCTGATCTTCCTATTTTTTAAGAAAGATTAGAAATCCAAAGCGTTATGTTATTTTTTGATTTTTAAAATGATGTGTGGAACAACTGTTTGGGCTTGTTAGGATTTGCAGGATGTCACTTTGATACCTCTGGTATAAGAACCTAATAACCACAGGATAAAGGCAAGCCATCTCAGTTGTACCTGCTCTTCATTAGAGCAAGCAAAGATTATGCAGGTTGTCTAAGCAAATAGGCATTAAGAAAACTTATTTATTGAGAGCTGGTATTTTCTTAAAATCCGGGGATGTAGTTGTTCCAGAAATCTTAAAAATTATCCCTGGGTAATAGTCATTAAAGATAATTTGTTTTGTTTTATTTATCCTTGAAGTATTCTCGTATACTTATGCATATATTTGAAAATTGAATTCCTTTTTTTCATTTACTTTTATCCTTCATGTTTGGGGCCTAGTCTGTTGAAAACTTTTTTTTCCTGCAAGTCTCCAGTTGTAAAATCTGTGCCAGGGCTTGATCAGAGACAGAGGGTAAGGATCGTTAGGCTTCCTTTGCAGAATTATCTTTTGAATTGGAATTATACTGAATCCTAGTAAGAGAAAGTTTTTTTTTCTTTTTTTTTTGGTGAAATTTTGGCTCACAGTTCTTGAAAGCGTTCTGCTTTTCAAAATATTCGTCCACATGATTGTTGATGTAAATTTGTTTATTAAATTATTACAATGTTTCTGCTTTCCTGGAATGCTAATCTCACTGTTTTGTCTAGATGTTTTTAGTTTGCTATTAAGGTGCCTAGGGTTTTTCCTTTTGATTTTCGGAGTAGGCAAGGGAAGTTGGTTTGACACTTTGTTTTTAATTTAACACATCTATTTGTTGAGATTTCTAAGTATTAATCTGCACAATATAATTACAACAGCATGGAGAGAAAAAGCAGATGTGTTTTAGACAAATTTTATAGTGTATCAAACAACTATCGTGAATGTGTAGGGTAAAAAGGATTCCATTTTTTCCCCTCTGTGAATGCATCTGCTTACTTCTTAATATTTAATATAGATAATAAATATATTTTTTAAAATTTAAGAGGGAGCTATTCTTAAGTTTTGCCTTAAAAAAAGGTTTAAAAAAAGATATGGACTGTGAACAACCAAATACTTAAGTATTTAGGACTACAGAAGAAGTTGAAAAAGTTATTTGAAAAATGCTTTGTGGATCCTAATATAAAAACATTCATGTATGTTTTATAATGTCACTACTACAATATCTAGGCCTTACTACATGAGAAATGTAAGATACTGAGAACAGAGTTAGGAAGTTAGGCTAACTCTAACAGAAAGTGAAACTGATTTGGCAAATATTTTTTTTCTATTGCTTCAGTACAAACGGAAAACAGCTTCTCCAATGACCAGTAAGCTTTGTTAAAGGAAGTAACCCCAAAGAGTATTCTTATTACTAAATTCAGTACATCGCAAAATCCCACTGATGTTATCTTATTTTTATTATATTTTGGAGGGAAGAGGTTGCATTTTAAAGATAAATTTCTGGGACAGGTATATTCTATTGCAAGGGCTTCCTTTTGCTTTCTTTCTGTTTGGGAAATTTCTTTAGGAAAGAGTGAAAGTATACAAGAAATGTATGGGTTAGTGTGTTGGTCAGGAAATGCAAGTTTTTTTCCAGTGACCATGCCTGATGGCACCTGAGTGAGTTGCAGTTGCAGTATGCCTATTAGGGGTTTGAAAACAGATTTGTGCAATTCTGCTTCTGGACCTTTCTGGTATGAAATATTTTTAACTTCTCAGAGCTCTTTGCTTCTTTAGGAATATTCAGAAGAGAACAAGCTTGGTAGCATGAGATTGGAATTCACTCAGGAAACTGCTGTCTGTTTTACCTGCAGTCAGTTGCATGACAGAAGTGCTGCACGATGCATGTACTTTTTCTCTGCTTAGAGTATTGACAGTGATAACAGAAATGCCAGAGTGAGTTCCTAAATGTGCCTGTGTTAGAGTAAAAGTTGTTCTTATGTCTAAAATAATTTTTCCCAGATGCCAGTAGTAGTGAAATCGTTGGTCAAAGAATTCAGCTTGGTTTTTAATTAAAATTTCCTGACTAAGGCATCCTTCTCTGAAATGGCTATGGTGTGAGGCCCTGTTTGAATAACGTTCGCCAGTTCTTTTAGGCACCAAATGAAAAAAGTTTGAAAACAAATACATACATTAGATAGTGTTGGAAATGTATACCAGGCAATCAGCTACAAGCAGGACAGATATTGGAAAATTGAAATCGATGTCTTTCTTTTAGGGAGCTTGGTGAGTTTATCTCATCCTATCTGCCCATTATTTTATGTTAGAATTTTGGGGTTGATTAAAATGAGTATTTTAAGTTGTTTAGAAATTGAGCTTTATCTTATCTTGTTCTTATCTATCAGAAGTAAAAAATGGATCTTTTCGGATGAGATTTTTGGGTCTGTGTATTCTCAAGTATCCTTAGTCTCTAATAAGAATAGCTTGATAAGAATCATAAGCAACACAAGCTTCCCTCTAAAATACAACCTTCACATTTTGTAAAGGTAGTAAATATTTAGTGGGCAACGAATTGCCTATGTGCTGCGAATTTTCTGTATTGGAATTGAGATGATTCCCCTTATAGGTGGGGTTATCTGTCAGGTAGCCTGCAAGACATGGCATTGTTCTGGAGAACCTTGTGCATCCTGGAATAATGAAGCATTTATTTCCACATGCTATTTGTCTAGAACTTGGAGGAAATAAGCTTACTGACTGATGTGATGCCTTGAACAAAGATGCAGTCTCTGTGCAGTAAGTTGGAAGGAAATCATTTTAAGAGATTTCCCTCAATTTTGAACAGACCTCCTTAGCCTAGATGACTTCCTGCCAACGTAGCAACTTCTTGGCTAACAAAATAATGTTTGCCTTCAACATCTAACAACACAAGATACATGTGCTTGGTAGTGTCAAAAATGGACAAATTGTAGGTGAAGATTTTTATTCTGGCTACCAGTGTGGAAAGTTGGGTAGAAATATAACTGTGAAAGGCTGAATAAAAACCTTGGCAGAGATGTCAAAGCTGGAAGTGATTTGGTGCGGGAGTTTCTGCTGAGCATCTGTGGACCACTGCATAGCCCCTTAGTATTTCTGTTAGGGATGCCCTGGAGGAAGGGTTTCCTGGCAGAAATCCAGACGTACAAATTCAGTGTACTAGAAGAGTGGGCAGTGTCCAGCCACTGTTCCCATAGGATGTATAGGGGAGATGTTTGGGAGCCTGCTGTACAGTCCAAGAATACCTCTGTTGTCTCCTAGAATAGGGCCTAATTAATTCCACAAGGGGGCTTTCCGTACCATTCGTTTTCATTATTGAACATTATTCTCAGTACAGGCTCATCAGAGTAGAGTTTTATTTGTTCAAGACAATTGTTTGGCCCTGTTTTTTAAAACCAGTTTTGCATTTGTGGGAGGTTATTAGATGCCTTACAGTGGGAGTCTTCCCCCAGTTTTTCTTCTTCAACTCTGAAATCATGGCCCTCTCAGAAAGGGTTGCCAGCAAGCAAAGACAGTTAACAAGGCAGTGATAAAGCCTGCAAACTGGTCCTCCAATGGGGGTGGGGATGAGGCGCGGGCAGTGTTATCGGGCTGGGTGGATCTGTGGTTTGGAAATATTTCCCACAGAGAATTCTCAGCCTCGTGTAAAGGTTTTTATGTTTTTCATGTGCTCTTTCAAAACTTTAGTGATAACATTTAATTCAGAGTTGCCTGGAATTAGGCTTGTTAGCTGTGCATGTTTTTAACTTGTTCTTTCAAATCAAGCTTGGGGAAGAGAAAAATACATCCTTGCCATTATCTCTGAGAGATTTAAAATTGACTCCAGTGGTAGCTCAGGGGTGGACATGGCAGCAGGGATTGGTCTAAGATTCCACTCTTCTGCTAGTTAAATTGGGCCTGGAACCACTACAGAAATTCCATCCACTACTTTGAGAACAACAGTCCCCAGCCCAGGCTTTCTACCAGGCAGTGGACTGCTGCCTTTCCTTGTTGAGCCAACTTCTCAAACTTGGCCGGCTCCCCAGATGAGAAGCCAAGATTTCTGCTCATGATCTACAGCCAAGTTCACTTACAATCCTCTAACCGAGAGACTTGTCCATTTGAGTCCTTTCAGAGCTCAGTGAATGGGAGGGGGTAGTGCACTGTGGGGATGATTTTGATGTTAGATTATACTTAGCTCCACCCCTTTAGTGCAGGTCCACGTGAAACCAAGTGCAACTGCATTCTAGCCGTTTGAGATTTGCAGGGCTCTCCCAGAAAGAAAACAGACAATTAGAATTTTATTTGTATCAACAGGAGGGATTGTGGGTAATTCTGGTGCACAGCTCTTACCTGGGAGGAGGGCCAAGAATCAGGGTGATTTAGTAGACAGGAGTATCTTGGGCTGCTCTGGAGACCAAAGATGGGCGATTAATTTGCATGTAAATAAACCACCTTAGGTAGTATATAGCAAACAGGAGCGGCAGACACATGCCAAATGTTGTCTCTTGGCCTTTAAGCTCCTTAGGTATAGTCCCAGCCCAACTTATCTTTGTGTAGATGATCAGAGGGAACAACAGTAAGTTCAAAAGGACTAGATACTTAAATAGGTTTAATTCTGTTGAGCTATTTCATGCTACTGTTAGAAGGCATCTATAATTTTGCTCTAAAGTTGTATGATACAGAGTACCTGCCTCTAGCCTCAGATTACCTGGTGTTCCAAGCTTGACTGTCCTCTCAGCTTCTCCATAATATTTCATATGTCACTATAGTTCAGTAAACATTCATTTTACAGTGAAACCAGACTTAACAAGATTAGGACAACTTTAGAAGTGCTCCAGGCATCTGCCCCCAAAAGAGAGAGATGCTGTGGAGAACCATGGTTGTCATGGGAACCTCATGTCCAGTTCAGTAGAGCTGTAGGAGAGGTGCTGTGCTTAAGAGACCAGGAAGTACTCAGATGACCACAGGTGCTCCCAGCCTCCTCTTCCTCTGTAATGACTAGGACTTTTAGGATTAAATAACAGGAGAATTTCAAGTCCTTTCATTCTCACAACTCTTGATAGAATTTTGTCTGTACATCTTCTCTAGTACAAGATTCATGTGAGGCAGCATTATTCTTGTGCTAAGCCAAGTTACTTACTCTTGTTCCATTTTTTGAATTTCTGGCCCCCTGTGTGTGTAGATTTAAGCTACCTGAACTTCCCATATACAGACTTGGTCTCTACGTTAGCTCAATGCAACCATGTGCATTCAAGATGAATGTTCAGAATATAATTTCCATAATTCTCAGTGTAGGTGTGATGAAGTTCTTCTTGCTTTGGGTTTGTGTTCCTTTTGGAGGGGATACCCCTCTGATGGGGGCCTGCTGAAGTGCGCTTACCATGCTCTCCAGCACTGTCTCTTCTGCCTGAAGCCAGAGCATTTTGCGATTCCTGATTTGGTGTTGGCAGTTTTGGTCCGTCTCCAGTTGACTGTTCTTTGTGATTACAAGTAGGCTAAGACTTTGACTTGGATATTTAGATACTGCCAAAGTAGCCTGACCTGCCACAGGTGCCTGAGGGAATTTATTCTGAGTATGTGGTGTCAGAAAGTGTGCCCTCTAAGAACTGCCTGTCTGGCACTGCCTGTGTACGGGAAAGCCCTTGGCAGGATAGCACCTTGGATCTACTTTTAAAAAACAGGAACTCAGAATTCAGTTGTCATCTTATCAGTTCTGTCATAATGATCTCAGATTCATGCATCTAGATTTTATAGGGGTTTTAGTTTCTATTATATGATTTGATGAGAAAGTCTTAAACTAGTGCCTTTTATTGGGCTTGGGGCTCACGGTGATGGTTTCACATGAAAGAAGCACCAGTTACTTAACTCTTTTTTCCCCTGGACACCCATCTGGGGAATCTCTTACAGTGGAGGTGATCACATCTTAAGAAGGGGCCACTGGAGCTTTCTCTAGTCACTTCCTAACCACAGACTGGTGGTTCTTCTGTCACATAAGCAAGTTCGGGGGGGGACCACTGATGTTACAGGAGAGTCACACTTTGTTCCCCTGAATAACTTTTATTTTACTTATGCATGAGCTGGATGCATCGAGCTACTTTGGATGTTCCTGTCGCAAGCCTTGCTCACCCCTTTCTCCCCCTTTAGCAGAGCCTAATTCTGGAGACTCCTAACTGCCCACCTCGAGAAATCCTTCCCAGTCCACTCGCCAGGGACAGTGCTGACAGCGTGTACTTCCAGGCTATACCCCACCCACCTTGTACCAAGCAAAAGGAGTGACATTCCTAACGTGTTCTTTCTCCTCTTCTTCTAGGCTGACAAACGGGCTCATCATAATGCACTGGAACGAAAACGTAGGGACCACATCAAAGACAGCTTTCACAGTTTGCGGGACTCAGTCCCATCACTCCAAGGAGAGAAGGTGAGTTTCTTGAGGAAGCTGAGTAACTGGCCACTACTAGCTTTTAACTTGTTGCGGAGCTTAGGAGAGCACTCACCTATTGGGAAGGAAATGTAGTCAGAGATATTCAGGTAGCATGGTTGCCTTATTTTTTGACTGTTTGGAGGATCACCGCACGCCTTACCTATTCCAGTTTATCCTTAACAAAATATGTCAGATATAATGGAGCTATTTGTAAGATGTTGGTAGGAGTCATCTTTCTAAATTTGTATTATTTGTAATAAATTCAAGAAATTATAACTATATACTGTAGTGTAAAGGGTGGCCCAGAGTTCATTTGGGATAACAGTAAAGATTCCAGAGGTGGTTAATACCCTAGACCTCCATGAGAATTTCTTTCCTGTGGTTCAAGGTTAATACTTAATGTAAATGAGCACTTGCAGAAATGCATGTAATGTATGTTAAAAGCAGCCTGGGCACCATTGATTTTCTAGCCCCAATAATTGTTATTTCCAAGGTGTATAAAGAGCATTTTAAACTGTGGGACCAAAGACTTGAGTGAAGAGACATGTTTGTGTGAAATAGAAAAAAATAACCGTTCTTCCCCACTCCCTTCTGGAACCTAGCGTTTTCCCTGGAGGGCTAGGCACCAGCTGTTGCTACATTTTAAAAACAAAATTAGAAGCTTTGAGTAAAAGCCTATGAGTTAGGGTCACTCCCTGGAATTTGGAGAAAACATCTGCACAGCTAGTTCCATCCTTGACAGAGAGTGTAGTTGTCTGCAGCAAGTCAGTGGAATAACTGGCAAGCTGGGAAGAGGACCTATGTTTTTGCTTTAGTGATCCAGTGTTTTATAAAGAAGCAACTATTCTGTTAAGAACAATTTTTGCTTTTGAGTGCACTTTGATTTAGTTCTGTGGTGGGGGTCCTGGATTTGTTTGGCTATCCAAGATCAAATTTGGAACCCTTATGCTTTCATTTTTTATATTGTCACTCTGGTGAGTTATATGCTCTATCCTTTATCTAAGGTGTGGCTTTCCATGTGGCGGAAACATGGAGAAGATCTGACCTTTATAAAGAACAAAACAGGCCATGTGCATACCTAGTATTGCAAAACCAGAATTTGTCATGGGTTAAGCGTACTAAGTGTGGACTTGATTTAATGACCTTAAACCAAAGTACTTACCTGGAATAACAACCTTCCTGAGTACAACACTAAGTACCACAGAAATCTTTATGACTAGAGACAGACTCACCCCTTTAGTCAAAGTAAACACATGCCAAAGATTATCTCTTAGGCTTCTTTGACCTCTTGACAGTTGGTGCTTATTCCTGTACCATAGTATCCATTAAAATTGCTTTGGTAAACTATATGGACAAGAGCTGCCTTCTCCTAAGTCTCACATCTAACCAGGAGTGGCACTGGGGCAATGTTTCTCGGGGTGAATTGTGGACCACCCACATCAGATTCACTGAATCAGCCTTTCTGGAGGGAAGCCTGGGAATCTGTGTTTATAACAAGCAGTCAGATGATTCTTAGGCATTCTTAAGTTTGAATACATTGGGAGAGGTGGGTCATAGGATCACAACTATACCTTTTCCTTATCCAGCCTGTTTTACAATGCCATAATATTCTTCCTTAACTCCTTATAATTACATTATTCTAAATCATATTTTCTCCTTTTTTCTTCAAGGAAGTTGAAGGTTTGAATTTGGTAGTCTTACAGAGGGAATAATTTGTCCTTTGTTGTGGCTCATTTATTTACTCATTCATGCCATTCAACACATATTTACTGAGGGTCTACTACCTGCCAGGTACTATTCTAGATACTGGGAATACAGCAGTAAACAAAACAGACAATAACAGGAGCTCTTGCTCTGATGAGGAAATGATAAAAAAAGAAGTAAGAATTAAAAATATATGTATTATGTCAGATAAGTACCATGGAGAAAAACAGGGAAGAAGAGTTGCAATTTTAATTATGGCAGAGAAGAAGAGTGTTGCTGGCAAAGCTTTGAACAAAGTGAAGCAAAGAATAGTGCATCTGTCTGGTAATGAGCATTCCAGGCAGAGGAAAGGCAAGTGTGGTAGCACTGAGACAGGAACCTGTAAGCATTCCTGGGCCAGGCAGGGAAAACAAAGAGGTCAGAGTAGCTAGAGTGGAATGAGTGAAGGGATGGTGGCAGGAGATGCTGGCAGAAAAGTAGCAGGACTAGGAGAGAGGAGGGGTCCAGGGGAACCAGATTCTAGAGCCAGTCAGCACAACCCCAGTTTGCGAATTTGCTAGATACCATTCTAATTTCCGAATCCTCCTATGCTGTGTTACAATCCAAATATGTCCTACTGACAGTGACACATGAAGGAAATGTCTATAAACTCTCAACCTCTTCCTCTTTAAAAAGCAAGCTGCCAGCACTGTTTCATAGGTGCCGTGAGTCTAACAGAATACTTTGGTCCCTCAGACTTATGAGTTGTGACTAAACGTGGCGTTTTTTAAAATGTGGTATTTGAACCAAAGGAAACGGGCTCATTCTTAGATTGTGGTAATTAAGGTTATGACATTATGTAAATAATCATGAGATGATTATTTTACCATGTGAATTTTGGGAAACTTAGATTCTTAAAGGGAAATTTAGGTCTCTCTGTGTTCCAGTCTCCTTTGACTTAAACATCTTTATGTTCCAGCTGACTTCTTCCTTAGCATTTGGATTATCTGTCATATGTGTAAGCCTTTTGTTTTTTAAAGAGAAAGCAATATATTAATTGAATTGGATCCTAACCAAGAATAAGGGATACTTGTTTAAAAAAGAAAGAAGGCTTTAAATGTGGGACCCAAACTCTATTTACCCTTTGTTTTCTGTATTTCTACTAAAAAATGGTTGGCCGGGCGTGGTGGCTGATGCCTGTAATACCAGCACTTTGGGAGACTGAGGCAGGTGGATCACTTGAACCCAGGAGTTTGAGACCAACCTGGGCAACATGGCAAAACCATGTCTCTACAAAAAATACAAAAATTAGTCGGGTGTGGTGGTGCTTACCTGTAGTCCTGCCTACCTGGGAGGCTGTGTTGGGAGGATCACACTTGAGTCTGGGAGGTCCGGGCTGCAGTGAGCCGTGATGGCACCACTCCAGCCTGGGCGACAGAGTGAGACCCTGTCTCAAAAAAATAAGAAAAATTTAAAAAAGAATTACTTTTTTCTTGAGGAAAAAAATCAGTAATAATTGACACTGTATTGCAATGTAAAATTAAATTCACACAGCAGTTGTATAAGGTATGGTACTGTTTTACTGCTGTTGCTCCTGTCAGTGTTATTAACAGGCTCAAGATCATTATCCCATCTGTAGCAGGACAGGGGCTAGAACTCAGGATTGCCAATTAATTGCCAAGTTCCATCTTTTTCCTGTACCATATGGGTAAACAGTTTAAGGATATTTTAAAGAAATCTTGCTTAAATACTTATATCTTGTCATTGTCCTGGGAGCTTCCCCTGGATAGGCCTGTTAATCTTGGCATTGTGTCATACCATGGCTACTATAAAAATACTCTCCTCTGAGGTGGCATATGTAGGTAACACTGAAGTGCAGGGTATTGAGGATCATTTAAAGTCTATAATTTCTTACTGAGTTCATATAGTTGCTCTGAGCCTAAGAAAATAGACCATTACAGTTGGTGGTTCATTTGGGTTTTGCCATAGGTCCCAGAGTTAACAAGTAGACCCTCGAACTCTATTGTTTGAGTCTTTTGTGTTCCTTGCAGTTTCTCAACTGTACATGGAGCCCACTGGGAACAATAGGATGGAATTAGAACCGTCAGCCAGCCAACCAGAGTAATGGAGTGAGGGCAAGATCAACTGTCAACTGTGGCCCCATTTTTTTTTTCTTTTACAGAGATGTTACTTTTACAGAAAGTATTAGTTAAGTGTCCTTGCTTGGGTACTAGGGAGTGTTACACAATGGTTCATTGGCACTAAGCTCACCGTATTTATGTTGGGGAGCAAGACCTGATAGCCAGCCCATCATTTTGCCTTTACATGGGAGTATAATTCTGTCCTCCATCTTGTAAGCCCCAGTACCTGAGCCAGAATGATTATAACCAATCACACTGTCTCTTTATCATGGATGGCTTTAGCAGTAGGTTATTTTCATCATTGCCATTTGTAGCTCTACAGTGGTTTATAGTAATTTCTCATCTTTTAAGTCTCTCCCTCAGTGCCTGTTGTTATCAAACTCATTGCTCTCTCAGGCAGTTGAGCTCTGCATTTCTCCCTTATGGGGAGAGCTGTGTTGAAGAGAGAGAATATAACTTAAAATGAAAATAAACAGATTTTCTTGATTTCGAGGTGAGAATTTGAGGGCACTGCCCTTTTCAGTTCCCATCAGAGATTCTGGCTCATAGTAGGTTCTCAGTAAATTGTGGTGGTGGAGAGAGCCAGAGGAAACAGCACACTTGCTCAGCCATTAAAGAAAACAGCAACAGTCAACATTATATGCTTAACTATATAAGTGAGACCCTGTGAGTGCTATAGAGGTTCAAAGACATAATAGATGGTATCTACCCTTGAGGGTCTTGCTCTCTTGTTGGGAAAGAGGGTTACACCTAACAATTAACAATAATGAGATAACATGCTGAGCATCAGATAAGAGCTTTACATTGAGTTAATCTCAGTTTCATTTCCATTAAAGTCTGGTTTTCTTAACAGGTAGATGTTGAAACCAAATATTAATAGTTCCTTTATGGCAGGGAACATGGTTCTTAAGGATAAAGGCTCTCATAGCATTTATACTTTTATGTTCACACATTTATATATTATGCTTAATATATGTGGTTTTACATATATTTGTGTGATTATTTAATGACTGCTGCCACTACACTATAGTAAATACCATGAAGGCAAGGAAAATGTCTCCTTTTGGTTATATTCCTTCCCTCAGTGCCTGCACATAGTAGGGAGCATAGTGAATGTTTATTAACTGAGGGGAGGAATCCCCCATCAACCTGGCCACATTATTTTGAGAGATGGCTTATTCCTGTTGATGGTTTTAAAGCTGACAGTTGATTTGGTAACCTGTGTCTATAGCATATCTGAGCTGCTGGAGGGATTGTCTTTTACATGAAATGTTAACCACAGTCCTATCCACTTCTCATTACTTATTAAGGTTATATTAGCTGGCCAGACTCCGACTTGGGCAATTATCTTTTTAAAGTTTCTACATCTTAAATTGTTGCCCATAGTTGCCCACATCTCCCTTAGGCTCCAGGCTCAGCAATTGTAAATGCATTTAATTTCTTATAAATTATTTGTGTGCTGCTGAAAACCTCCAAGGGCTTTTCATTGCCCATTTAGGTAAGGACTGGTATTCCATGTTCTGTAAATAAGGTACCCAGCTTGCCCACCTGCTTTTTCACCACCTTCCTGCCATTAACCTTCCAGTTACTGTACACCCTTGTATTAGTCCGTTTTCTTGCTGCTGATAAAGACATAGACTGGGCAATTTACAAAAGAAGGTTTAATGGACTTACAGTTCCAAGTGGCTGGAAGGAAGCCTCACAATCGTAGCGGAAGGCAAGGAGGAGCAAGTTATGTCTTGCATGGATGGCAGCAGGCAAAGAGAGAGAACTTGTGCAGGGAAACTCCTGTTTTTAAAACCATCAGATCTTGCAAGACTTACTCACTATCATGAGAACAGCATGCGAAAGACCCGCCCCCATGATTCAGTTACCTCCCACCGAGTTCCTTCCACGACACATGGGAATTGTGGGAGTTACAATTCAAGATGAGATTTGGGTGGAGACACAGCCAAACTATATTATTCCGCCCCTGGCCCCTCCCAAATCTCATGTCCTCACATTTCAAAACCAATCATGCCTTGCCAGCAGTCCCCCAAAGTCTTAACTCATTTCAGCATTAACTAAGAAGTCCACAGTGCAATGTCTCTTCTGGGACAAGACAAGTCCTTTCTGCTTATGAGCCTGTAAAATCAAAAGCAAGTTAGTTACTTCGTTAATCTCTCACCATGTTCCTCCCACAACACATGGGAATTGTGGGAGTTAAATTCAAGATGAGATTTGGGTAGGGACACAGCCAAACCATATCAACTCCTCTTCTGTTTGCTCAGGAATTTCATTCTCAGCTAATCTGAGTTCTTTGCTTTTCTCAAGGTCCAACCCCAGCCACACTGCCCAGGTGACTTGGGGGTTCCATATTGATGAGCCCTGCTCACAAGATCTACCTGCAGTCTGTCCTCTATTTCCTGCCTGAGTTCCCCCCTTCCCTCAGTTTCCAGCTCCTTGCCTTAGAGGCCCATATCAAATACTGCCCCACCCTTAGAACCCTCCCATGCACCTCTGTGGCCTTTTGTGGGACCTCTCCTCTGTCTCCCTAATTTCTGTGATCATCTTATCACCTAACTAAATGGTATGCTCCTGTAGGGCAGGAATCTAATTATTCCTTCTGGGAGACTGTCATATAGAATGGGAGAGGTCTCACTCCCCCAGGAGTACTAGAGAGCTCTTCCCCTAACATTTTTCGCATCTTGAGATTCAGAAGGATAGGGATTGATTACCAGGCCTTGACTTTAGCGTTTTTTTTTCCTCCAACAAAGTTGCAAAAACTTTAGAAAAATGGTAAGAAGAAAAAACATGAGTCCTTCCTTCCTCTAACACAACTGCAGCCTTCCCTTTGATCCTGTGACAAATGCTGCGCAACAGAAATTTAGTGTGAGTCACAAATGCATTTTAAATGTAACGTAAATAAAATAAAATTAACCTTTAATTTAACAATTAAAAGGTTAAACAGGTGAAAATTTGAGTAATATAATTTATTTAGCCTAATATTAAAAAATAAGTATGATCTCAACATGATCAATATATTTAAAATTATTCATTCACCAAGTCTTTAAATTCAACTTAACAGCACATCTCAATTCAGAGTACTCACATTTCAAGTGTTTATTAGCCACATGTGGCTACTGACTATCAGATCAGATAGTATAATCCAAAAATAGACTCTCCGTACCCTGCTGCCCTATTTAATGTGACTGAATTAGTCATCATCTTAGAGTGGGTGTGAAAAGAAACCTGCCTCCCTTTTTTTCTCCCCAAAAGCTGCTATTGTTCAATCCATGGATTTATTGATGGAGTCTAAGAAGCAAGGAAATATAGTGTTATCAATTTGTGTATTCCTTCCTGGTCTCTTCATCTACATGCTTCCCACAGGGAAAGTGCTATTTATAGCTTCCTGCTTTTACATAATATATTTTTTCCCCAGGTCATACAGTGTGCTCATGTTTAGCCATTAGGCATGTTTCTTTTGGGCAATTGGGGCTGCATTCAGATTTTAAAATTTATAATTAATATGGTGATGGACATCTCTGTATATGTAGCCATTTCTGTAGATTCCAAGAAGTTGGATTTTTGGGTTGAGGGGTATGAGCATCTGACCTTTTTCCGTGTATTACCAAAATGCTTTCCAAGAGGATTGTTTTTATATCCTCTTTCTTCCACTTCTTTTTTTAAGCAAACTCTGGAGTAGTCTTTTGGTAGTGTTTTGAGAGTACCAGTTTCATTATCACTGGAATTTTTTTTTGGAAGAGGTGACTAATTCAGTAAACAAAGGTTCGTAATTTTGTATTCTATTTATTACTTCTGAAATTAATTGCTTTTCCACGTGTTTACTAACTAGCTCTATTTCCTCTTTTGGAAATTGTGTACTCCTGTCCTTCATCGTCAAAGTTTGATGCAGAAATGCCACACCTTCATTTCAAGCTACCAAGGGCACAAGAAAAAATAATGAAAGATTTAAAAAAGGATTGTTTTGACCCCTTAAACAAATGTCTTACTCCTCACTTTAATTAAGCTGCTTGCAGGGCTGATAGCTCTGCTTTCCCTGGTGATCAACAAAATGGTCCTGTGGCTGGGGAGGCCCTGGCAGCAGGAAGCCTTCAAGGAACCGTGGGTCTGTGCTGACTCTGACCTTACAACCTTCCAGGCTCCCTTGCTGGCATTGATGGGGTTCCATTTTTGAATGAACTAGTTTAATGTGGATCCAGATTTATTGTGCATATTCTTTCGTTTTGGTTTTCAAAAGATGGCTTATTCACGTGGAAATGTATACCAGTTTAGCCCGGGGCCCTCCCTTTACCTTCATATGTATAAAAGCTTACACAGTTTTCAGAAAATAAATTGTTTCATTTTCTCTAAAATAACTAGTAAAAAATAAAACAGATGTCAGTTGTTGAGTCCAGCAGTACCTCTTTTTTCATCCCTCCAGATATGGCATTTTGGTTCTTAGGGAAACAGGACAGCTGTAACATCAGCCCACTGGCATCTGTTTTTGGCACTGACGAGGAAAAGTGTTCAGTAGAGTTAAGATTATTGTTTCTCACGTCAGCACTGGGACCCTAAGGAAGGGCAGTGGTGTTCCTAATGTTAACAATCTAGCAGTACTGTTCTTTTCCTCACCTCTCCCCACCCACTTTCTAAAACAACTTGAATTTTTACAGAAATCCAAGTTACTGTGATAAGATTTATAACTCCAGAAATGTTTGGAACTCTTGCCTTACATTGAACATTTTTGGGAACCATTGCCTTAAATGAGATTTAATAACCTTAGACTTCATCTGAAGCATCAGTGCTAACAACTTCAGGAGTCATTTGGGGCCTTAAATGGTTCTATTTAGAATCCACGTCTTTTGGGTTTGGGGCCTTTTGTGACATACATAGTCGATTCTTGGTGTGATGTGTGGAGTGGGTGGATGCTGTTCAAAAGCAGAGGTCTGACAGTGGGCGCTTCTGCTTGATAGGGTTGCCCTTCCCTCTGTCTGCTTACTGCCTTGGGAGGGAATGCAAATGGACACGCAGCTGCAGCAGAAACAGTAGGAGGGACAGGAACCTGCCAGACCCTCTGCCACACCCTGGGTCTTCTACATTCTTCATTTTGCTTTTATCCTTCTGGGCTGCCAAAAGGTAATGAAGCCAGCAGTACTGTGGGAAGCTGACATTCCCCACCTAACCTTCCACTTCCACCCTCCAGACCAGATGGTTAGGTCAGTTCTCCCAAGCTAGCTTGCATCTTGAGGCTTTTCTTCTCAATGTGTTTCTGCTAGAAGCCTGTTTAATTCTCACCTGTCTTTAAAATAAAAAAAAGAAAGAAAAATAACCTTCCTTCAATGCTGCTATCCTGCTATTACAAACTACCGTTTTTCACTTTTTTTTTTTTTTTTTGATGGAGGGTCTCACTCTGTTGTTCAGGCTGGAGTGTGTTGGCACAAGCATGTCTCACTGCAGATTCAGCCCCATGGGCTCAAGAGATCCTCCCACCTCCGCCTCTCAAGTAGCTGGGACCACATTCGTGTACCACCATGCCTAGATTTTTTTTATAGAGCCCATGTGTCTTGCTGTGTTTTCTAGGCTGGTCCCCAACACCTGAGCCCAAGTGATCCTCCCACCTCAGCCTCCCAGGGTGTTGGGATTACAGGCATGAGCCACCGCACCTGGCCTACTTCTTACCTTTCAACCAAATTTTGAAGACTAGTCTTCATCATTGCCTTACTTGCAGCTCAATCCCTACACCTGTTACCCGTGCAGAGACAATTTACTGTTGGGCTTTGGCTGTCACCCCTCCAAGAAAACCACCTTCACTAGGGTCTTCCATTGACGTCCTTGTAGGCAAATCAGGTGACTCTTTCGTAGTCCTTTTCTTCCAACTTTCCCCTCCATGACAACACTGTCCCTGCAATTCTATTGATCTTTTTAAATTAGTTCCATAGCTTCCCCTGTGTTCCCAAAATATCAGTGTTCTGGAGGCTTGGATTCAAATCCTGACTCAACTTCCTACTAGTTTACATAACATTGGGTAAATTACAGCTCTGTGTCTCAGTTTCCTCGTTTATAAAATAGAGAAAACATCAGAACGTTGTGTGAGGATGCCTGGCACTTAGTAAGTACTCAGTAAGTGTTAGCTGCTGCCATTGTTACCACCCCCATCATCATCATTGTCATTTGTGTTGCTGTGTGCAGCCATGGCTTTGGAGCAAGATCTGGCAAGGCTGCCCAGCATCCTTTTGTGTGGCTCCCAGAGGTGAGAGAGAGGCCTGCAGAGCCCTTTGCGTTTACTCACATGGCTGCATGGGAGGCCTGGCTACCTCTTCAGTCCCTTCAGCCACCATCCACCCTGTCTCAGGGCTCCATCCAAACCATTTAAAGAGCCATTTGTGTTCACAAAGACAGAATCAAAATGATAATTCTGCTAATTATAAAAACTAGCAGGAAAAATAATTTCAGGTTTTTACTGAGTACCCAAGGCAGCACTTGTTCTGTGGACACGTTGACTTACCAAGTTCTGTCTGATCAGTCACACTCACATGAAGATAGGCAGTTGACTCAGCTGACTTAGAGCAATTTTCAGAAAACAGAAACTGAAAGCCCAGGGTTATTCCATAGTCCATGCCATAAATCCCAGGGTTTCTTGCTGGCTTCGTGTTTACTAGTCACATATTACAAGCTCATAAAGACAAGGAATGGCCTTGCCCCCACCTTCATGCTGTGATTGGCAACATGATCACGTATGTAGTGGAAAGATGGGAGTGGAGGATTGCAGGTGAGTCTAGCATTTTTAGCTTCAGCCTTTTGCTTTTTCTTCCTTGGACTACATGCACATGCAAATTTGGGGTATTTCTATATTTTGTGCTTTAAATTTTTTTCTTGTTGGATCTTAATTCTTGTTGGGTTCCCTGGGAAGAGTAAAATAAAGTTAACTCTGAACCATTCTTTTGGACTTGCTGAGGGATCAGGGCACCCTAAGTGACCTAGGGCACTTCCGCTTTCAGCAGAGGATGGAGGAAGGGCTGTGCTTAGCATTCTGAAGGCCTCATTCTGGGTTTGAACCAATCCAGCCTTCTTTGGACTCCTCTTGTTCCCAAGACACTATGTTCTGAACATCCATGAATTTTATCTTCATCCAAAAACTAGCCCTGAAATGGAAGCTGCCATCCCTCACAGATCTTTTTCTCTCTTCTGGCTTGTTTTGCTGTGCTTATTGCTCACTTTTCACTTCTTGATCCTAATTCCCTGGTTTCATGTATAAATATTTGAAGGAGAAACTAGTAGCACAAAGGCTGTTACTCAGTCTGGTCATTCATTAAAAGTTATCACTGAACATTTGCAAGTGCTCTCTGGTTTCAGAGATTGTGCATTTTTTCCCTTGTCCCAGATGCACATGGGTAGTTAGGAGCTAATGTTGCCTTCTGGGAACTGTTAGTTGAAAAAATAGCTTTTACATAGGCAAATTTAAAAAGAGGGATGTAAATATGCATAGCAATTACATCAGTGATGGAAAGGGTAGAATTTGGAGGGCTAGATGGGGTCTTAGAGAATTTCTAATCAGATGAGGAATAGGCAAGGTGAGAAATGTGTCTGCAGCCACAGAACCCATTAATGAGAAGCATGTAGAGCACTCCTCTGTCCCCAGATTCCCAAATTCTTCCTCACCACTCTACCACCTCTCATCAATACTAATCATTTTTCATTCCATCTCCAGTATCCAGAGAGGAAGGTATTTTAATTAGTCACTTCTAATTATGTCCTCCTTTTTTCCACCCCATTTTGTCACGTAATAATCAAACCCTAATAAGGCCCCTTTGCAGAAATGGGAAACAGTGTCTGAAGTATCCATTGCTAGGCTAGGAATTCTCATTCCTTCTATATAAGCTGACTGACTCAACTAAAGAAATGCATCTCACTTTTTCCCCATCCCACCTTGCCTGTGCTATTCTCCCTATTCAGAGTGACCTTTTCCCACAAACGCCACCTTGGTCTAACACCGGGCTCGCCGTTTCAGATAGGATCGCATTGCACGCACACATGCAGCACCAAGGCCAGTGCCTGGCACACAGTAGGTAATCACCCCAGCCAGAAGCCATCTTTCCCGTGGTGTCTCTAATCTCTGCTAGTCAGGTTACGCTTGTCAGCACTGCCCTGTGATTTGTCTGTGTATAAACATATTTATCTCCTCAACTAGATAGTAAGTAAGCTTTGGGGCAAAGAAGCCATGACTAATACATTTTGTTTCCCCACAGTATCTGCCCAGTACCTTGTACGTAATTTGCACCTGATAAAAATGGTTGGTTATGAACAGTTTCCTTGAGGAAATTACCTTAAGATGCTATAAGAGAAAAGCCTGGAAATTCTAGTACTTGTGAGGACTGTCTTTCTCCCGCTGTTGTGTTCTGGTTCTTTAGGACCCATTGCGCTTGTAATATAGAATTGTCAAGCACTGCCTACCCTGGGTAAGAAGCTTTCCAGCTGCTCAGGAGACTCTGGCTGGAAAGCATACTTAAGCTACTAGGCTACCCTGCCTTGGGCTTCTCTTGGCTTTGTACTATTCTACCAGTTTGGCTGGCTGCCTGGCCATAAGTAACTCTGGCTATGTTTGTAGTCTGGAGAGAATCTCCCAGACAAGTTTGATGTCTAGGGGCACAGTAACATGACATCCATGTTATTGACTTACGAACTTACTCTAACAAGGCAGTACCCAGGCAACCCACAGCCATTGTAGAGGTGTGGTTGTTTCCTGAAATGGCCCAATCTCGTGCTCTTCCTGTGTTGACATCAAGCGCCAACAGCTTTTATGAAAGTCTCTTTAGCCAGGAAGGCTGAAATAGTGACACAGCATCGTTCAGTTGGGAATAGTTAACAATGGTTTCAGAGTTTGGCTGGAATCTTGGGTCTTGATGAAACACATTGTACCCATTCCCATCTCAAGCCAGGCCCTAGCAGAATGAGTGACCTAAAGCTTTCATTTAAGTAGTATTTTAATGTTTCCAGACATAGCCAAGCTAAAGACTTTAAAGCAACCTAAAGAACCAGAGGGGATGAGAGGAGTACAATTCAGGAATCAGATGGCTCTGAGTTTAAATCCAGGCTGTGCCACTGTCTAGCTGGTGATTTTGAATAAACTAGTATATTTCTCTGATCCTTGGGTTCCTAGCAGAGCTACCTCTGAGACTATGCTTGTGAGGTAAGCACTTGGCACCTTGTATGTCACAAAGAAGGCCTTCACAGATGCAGTGGCTCACGCCTGTCATCCCAGCAGTTTGGGAGGCCGAGGTGGGTGGATCACCTGAGGTCAGGAGTTTGAGACCAGTCTGGCCAACATGGGAAACCCCATCTTTACTAAAAATATAAAAATTAGCCAGGCAACGTGGCATGTATCTGTACCCAGCTACTCTGGAGGCTGAGGCAGAAGAATCACTTGAACCCGGGAGGTGGATGTTGCAGTGAGCTGAGATCACACCACTCTACTCCAGCCTGGGCAACAGAGCAAGACTACATCTCCAAAAAAAAAAAAACCAGCTGGGCACAGGGTAACCTGTAATCCCAGCACTTTGGGAGGCCAAGGTGGGATCACCTGAGGCAAGGAGTTCAAGACCAGCCTGGCTAACATGGTGAAACCCCATTTCTACTAAAAGTACAAAAAAATTAGCCGGGAGTGGTGGCGCATGCCTGTAATCCTAGCTACTCAGGAGGCTGAGGCAGGTGAATCACTTGAACCTGGGAGACGGAGGTTGCAGTGAGCCAAGATCACGCCGTTGCACTCCAGCCTGGGCAACAAGAGAGAAACTCCGTCTCAAAAAAAAATACAACAAAAAAAGAAGGCCTACAGTAGCCATTACTGTATTTCTTCAGCCTTTTCCCACCTTATCCTCTTGATTCCAGCCACCCAGGCAGTTGCTGCAGGCCGGGTTCCCTCACTGCCTGGATTCGGTTTTTATTTTGTCCCCTGTGCTTTTTCTCATATTGCCACAGGCATCCCGGGCCCAAATCCTAGACAAAGCCACAGAGTATATCCAGTATATGCGAAGGAAAAACCACACACACCAGCAAGATATTGACGACCTCAAGCGGCAGAATGCTCTTCTGGAGCAGCAAGGTGAGCACCCAAGCTCGTGGGGCAGCTGGCCCTGCTGTGCTCTGGCTGGGTCAGGCTTTGGCACCTGGGCCTGCAGAGTCAGAGCCAGTCATGGAGTGTGTGCTCAGAAGCAGGCTTGGTCCTGCTTCTTGGGGCCTGAGTAGCTGAGTGTTAGAGCCGTCCTGAGGAAGGACCTGAGATGCTAGTGAGGAGACAGTGGAAGCTAGGAAGTTGGACATCTGGAGACTTGTATCTTTTCTGGCCTGACCTCTCCCCTTCTTGGGGCTCAGGTGCTCTGCCTGCAATAGGGATCACACCTGGCATCAGGTGTCTGAAAAGAGCTTTGAGGTCCTTGGAGTGGAATGTGCTATGTAAGTACCAGAGACTCCAGGTGTTCAGGGACAGTGAGCCCTCCCCATTGTCAATGGTAGTCCAATCGGGGCAGCCTGTGGGCTAGGCCCATGCTGTTCTCAATGCTCACACCCGCCTTTTCCTACAACCACAGGGGAAAGCGAGAGCTGATCAAGTTGTTTGTTCCTGGGGAATTCACTTCTCTTCCTCCCTCATGGAAGATGCAAGTAAAAGGAAATGCAAGTAACCACCTGGGTTAGAAAACGTCAAATAAAATAAAATAAAGTAAAATAAATGGGTTGACCTTCCAGGCTCAAGCTGAGCTGAACCAAGAGATGGGCAGTGGGTGGTGTCAGTGGGTTGGTTATTGGGCCAAGCAGCCTGCATGTAGGGGCTATTGGAAAAGCCCAGGTATTTTATGTGTATTGGTGACTTGCTTCCAAGTGTCCAGCTTGTCATTTCAAGTGGATCTTGTACACGAGAGCTAAGCCAAAACTGTTCTTTGGCTGATACGTCTTATGTCATCCTTTTCTGCTGTTGCGTGGCCTCACACCTTGTGGAGCCTCATGCTCCTGGGCCAGCTTCTCCTCTGTTATTGCACTTCTAAATCCCACAGGGAGCTCACGCTCCAGTCTCTCCGCAGGGGCTTCCACGGCAGGACGGTGACATCACAAGCCTTCTCTTCGGGGTTGGGTGGGATTGCAGAGTATCTGCTGGCTCCCAGGTCCAGCTGGGAAAGGCGGGAGGGAAATGAAGTGTGTGAGTGAACAGCCACCCGAAGGGAGTACTTCTGAGCATCTTGAGCCTCGGGGGCCAACAAGCAAGCCCTTAGGAAGAACAGGCTGGACCCTGAGTCTGAGACTCGGTTACTCCCCAAGTCTCCAGAAGGCAGTAACACACTCCCTTGGTTGCCTTTTAGTCCGTGCACTGGAGAAGGCGAGGTCAAGTGCCCAACTGCAGACCAACTACCCCTCCTCAGACAACAGCCTCTACACCAACGCCAAGGGCAGCACCATCTCTGCCTTCGATGGGGGCTCGGACTCCAGCTCGGAGTCTGAGCCTGAAGAGCCCCAAAGCAGGAAGAAGCTCCGGATGGAGGCCAGCTAAGCCACTCGGGGCAGGCCAGCAATAAACTGTCTGTTTCCATCGTCTCATCCTCCTTTCAGTTCATCGGTAGAACCCTCAGAAGCATCTAAAAGACTCTATTTTTCTCTTTCTCCCTTTTTTTTTTTTAAATTTTTATTTTTACGTAGAAGCTCTTGGACAACAGCTCTTGTTCTCCTTCCCCATTTCCACTGTATATTTTTTTTTAACGTATTCCCTTCAGGGATTCCCTGTCCCCACCAGGAATTTTTAAACCAAAACACCCCAACTTGGCAGCTTTTTCTGTGGAGGACAGACGGCCGGCCAGACCTCTGAGCACATAGTGTCCTGCCCACCCTACCAGCTCCTCCAGCCCTGCCAGGCACATGCCCGGAGGACGCCTGCCCTGCCCAGGCGGCCTCCTGGTCCGCCCTCACCTCTGATAGACTTTGTGAATCTGAACTGCTCTACTTTGAGAAGATGACCGGTTTGGAGTAATCAGAATGAACCCTCCTCCTTTTTAAGGGTTTTTTTTTTTTCCTTTTTCTAAAAAGCTATGTATTGCTCCTATTGAAAGACCAGATTCTTAAAGAAGTTTGTGGCATAAAAAGAAAGTGGGGACAGATTCGCAGCACAGAGTCCCTGGCATGTTTCACTCCTGCTTCTCTCAGCCAGCTGTTTAAGCCTGCGGTGCCAGCCTCACGGAGGGCCGTGTGACACTCTTGTGGTATGTATGGGAGATGGCAGCAGTGAAGCAGCAGCCACCAGGGAGTGGCCATTTAAGGGTTGGGACAGGGAGGGTGTTTTGGGTGGCATAGAGGTTTTGTATTGAGGGCCAGTGATGATGTTTTGATATTTATTTCCTGCTACTTAAATTTGAATCTGAGTGAATTGTACCTATTTCTGATGATGTCGGTCTTGCAAAGCGACAGATTCATA